AAGGTCATCTGTTTTATGTGGGAAAAGCATAATGCGAGATTGTGATTTGGGATGGAAAAGAAATCTAATAATACTATTTTGATTTAATCTGTAATTAATGAGTCATAAATATACTTAATTAGAGATTACTAATGCAGTCAGTGGGGGCATGTGCCCCTAGGGGCCCCCATACTGCATCCGCCCATGCTTGCATCTTCTTGAATTGTTCATCTTGAGCTTCACTTCAAGTTGCGAAAGCTCCAAACAACCCAAATGCACAAGTTCATCATCACTATGATTCCTACTCGACCATTTAACTTGTAAATCATTTAGCAAGCTATTAGATGGCACCACAAAAGTTTTTTTATTGTCAAATTGCTGATAAGTCAATCATATCGTATGATATACACTCTCATCTTTGCATGTCCTGTCAGTCCTGTCAGTATTTTTCAATTCTATTTATATTTTTAAATGGTATTATCCTGGGGGTAGCAAAAAAATATAACACCGATGGGGGTCCTTAATGATAACTTGCTATTCTTGCTTGTTTTCCTGTCTTAAATGCACAAAATTTCCAATGATTTTATATTGCAATACTTGCCTGTTTTCATTTCCTTTCTGATTATTTTTTTAATTGGTGAAATAGGAATCTTGCTGGAGAAATTTCACAAGAGTTTGCCAAGCGTCAGGTAGGCCTGAACTTCTAAAAGCTTGATAGCTGAGAATTGCGAGTCATGTTTTCATTTTTTGATTATATGTACGAGTTCTTGCTTGTTGCATTTAGCATTTTGGACTTGACGTCTTGAGTCTTGAAGCCTTTCTGGTTGCCATGTTTTGCTTTCTTTTTGTTGGTGTTATTGAAAAATTAACTCATTTATAGAGTAGTTTGCATGTTTCTAGTTTAACTAAACTCGCCATATTGATCTAACGCATTAATATTGAATCACATGAAATCATCATTTTGGGAAGTGACTATTAAGTTTGCTGTGTGTTGAGTCTTTTTTAGGCATTGTAAACATTGTTCTGCCTCTCCATTGTACATCTACGGTCAGCTTAAATTGAAAATATAATGCCTTTTTTGTTATGTACTTAAAGAATTGAAGCCTCTACAATTTTTTTCTCTCAATGATCGAATGATTTTTTTTTGTCGTTAATGCTGTTTCCTACTAAGGCTCCTTCTGTATTTAATACCACATGAAAACGGATAAGCAAAATTTTCTTTCCCTATTCAGCCAGCCTATTGGAATATTGAGATTATTGCTTCAATGTGTGTAATTCATTCTCATTTAAGATCCGTAGAGATCATTTACATTTAGTTTCTCTTGTCCTGATTGACTCATGAGTCTTGTTAATTAAATCTGCTTTGAATTCTTTGTACTTCTCTTTCTTCCATTTTAATATTCCTAAATTAGTAGATCCAATGGTTGGATTTTTGCATTTTGCTTAATGCAGTACGATGACCTGCCCATAGATGCGCTTATGGAGCTTGTACAACAAATTGTTGCTTTCCACATGAAGGTATGCTTCGTTTGTAATATTTTATGTAGTCTTTTCAGTACCACAAATTTGTGACATGCATGCATGTTGCATACCTGTTTCCTGAGTTCTAATTTACAACTTTTCCATAAATGATTTGCAGCACAACGCTGAACCAGAAGCTGTGGATCTTCTGATGGAGGCATCTAACTACCTTATTCACATTGCATGCCTTTTACTTACTAGTGTCATAAGCATAAATACTGAGCATCTCTTTTTGAATCCAGGTTGAAGACCTCGATCTATTGGTTGAACATGTTGACTCCACTAATTACAAGAGAACATGCTTGTACCTTACTAGTTCTTCCAGGTTAGTGCATTGGTAGAAACGCAAAATTATCTTGAATCATGTTTCTTTATTACTTGTGTATAAATTGAACACTGACAACCACCGTTTGGAACTCTTTGAATTGTTGAGTACGTTTCTTTATTTGTTAACCAAATTAGGCTCACTTATTAACTCTTGGGCATCATTTAGCTTCATATCGATGTGTTACGAAAACAGTCTTAATCACCACAGTTCAATAAAACCTTATGATGGAATTATATATCAAGAATACCGTCAGAAGTTAATTGTATTAAGTGAAATCTATGGCTTTGTTGGCTGCTACACCTGATACTGTTTTTTTAGATTTGATCAAGTAAAAGATTAAATTAGTTATGTTACATCTTCACTCATTATTTTTTAGGGGGTTTTACATACATACCACTTTATTTCATTTTATTTACATATCTAACACCCAAAACTTAAATATTACATGACTACCACCCATAAAACAAATTTGGTTGCATGGAATGAAATATTAAAGTTTATAGGATGGTATGAATGTTAGTAATGAATTATAGGAGTGATATATTTGATATTAAAGTTGTATATGAGTGGTAGGTAAGTAATATTAATGTTTTGGGTGTTAGATATGTAAATAGTATAAAATAAAGTCGTATGTATGTAAATTTCCCTATTTTTTAATATTCTGTTACTATGATTTGGGACTACCTGATCTTGAATTTATGTCTTAATTGGAAAAGATTTAAATTACATGTTGGTAAAGTGGTAGATCTTAAAATATTCATGGTAGCTGTGTGTTTAGAGTTACGAATGAAGGTCGTAGGATCATATTAGATTTTGCCCTAACTTTTGATTTTGTAATCGGTAATACCTTATTTAAGAAAAGAGATGAGCATCTCATCATTTATAAGCAGATTAATTATTTTCTTATAAAAAAAATAGATCGTTGAGATTGCAAAGATTGTAAAGTTATTCCGAGTGAAAGTTTATGTAACTAGCATTGTTTATTAGGTTTGTATTTTAAGATAAATGATAAAATATAACAAATAAAGTAAAATGTTGTCTTATGATTAAATTTAAAGAACGCTCACAAAAATAATTTTAACAGTAAAATTCAAATTCTTAAGATTTTGACTATGCATGACGAAACTAATGTTATGGGAAAAAGTAACTTCTGAAATTAAGAATGTTGCGAAAGTTGTGTTTGGATTAGCAAAAGGAAAAAATCATAATAGTAAAAAATAGTTGATGGTGGAATCAAAATGTGCAAGAAAAGATAAAAAATAAAAAGCGTTGTTATAAAATTAATTTTATTGTAAAAGCTCAAAAATTGGGAAAATAGAAAGAGGTCCGTAAGGAGTTTAAGAAAACAATATGCGATGCAAATAAATTAACTTTTAATGATTTATATGATAGATTAGATACTAAGGATGATGAAAGATTTGTGTAAGTTAGCCAAGCAAAGAGATATGGAGAAATAATAATTTAGTTCAAGTGAAGTGCATTATGAATGAAAATCAAAAAGTGTTTTTATTAAAAGAGGATATTCAACAATGGTGGATGAGATATTTTGATAAACTTTTCATGAAGTTTGTGAGAATATGATGGGCTTTAGTGACCTTAGCACCCTAAATGAAAATAAAGATTTTTGTTTTTGTCGGCATATTAGTTAAACCGAAGTTAAAGAAGCTTTAAAGTGGAGGATTGTGTGTTGATTATATTTTCAAGAATAATGGTGATGCACAAGAGTGTGAATTATAGATGAATTAAGTTAATGTGTCATACTTTAAAACTATGAGAGATAGTTATTGAGCATATGTTATGACGTGATACTAATGTTTTTAAAATTAATTTGGATTCCTGCCGGTTAGGTATACTATGGAAGCTATACATTTATTGAGACATTTGATAGAGAAGTATAGAGAGAATGAGGAGGATTTACATATGATATTTATTGATTTAGAGAAAGAATATGACAAAGTTCCAAAAGAAATGTTCTGGAGAGTTCTCGAAAAGAAAAAGGATTAATAATGCTTATATTCAAGTCATTAAGGATATGTATGCAATAGCTATTACTTGTTCAAACACAAGGTGGTATGACCAAGTATTTTTCTATTTCAATTGGATTACATTAAGGATCAGTTTTAAAACTATATCTTTTTGCTTTTGTCATGGTTGTTCTTACTAGACATTTGCAAGAGGATGTACCATAGTTTATGCTTTTTACTGATGATATTGATAAGACTAGAGAGGAAGTTGAAGGAAAACTTGAATTATAGAGATCAACCTTATTCTAAAGGTTCTTGTTTGAGTGGATCTAAAACCAAATACATAGACTATAATTTTAATAGTGGTATTTCTAGTGGTGAGATTGTGAGTTTGGGTAATCAAGTCATTAATAAGAATACACGTGTTAGATATCTTGGGTTTATTGCTCAAAATGATGGTGAAATAGATGGAGATATTATTAGTAGAATTCTAGTTGAATGGTTGAATTGGAGGAATGCATTAGACATGTTGTGTGATAAAAAATTACCCCTCAAACTTAAGAGAAAATTTTATAGGATGGTGGTGAGACCGGTAATGCTTTATGGCACATAATGTTAGCCATTAAAAGAGAAGTATAAAATGAAGTTAAGTGTTGTAGAGATGAAGATGCTCAGTGGATGGGTGGCTTCACTCTTATAGACAGAATGTCAAACGAGTATATACATGAAAAGGTTGGAGTAGCTTCAATGACAGATAAAATTAGAGTCGCCTTAGATTGTTTGGTTACATAAAACATCGGCCTTTTGATGACCCAGTTAGGAGAGTTGATGTCTTAAATTTGACCTATGTTAAGAAAGGTAGAGGTAGACCTAAAAAGCCTTGGTTATAAAATATTCAAAATGACCTTTTTTTAATTAGATTTAAACGAGAATTTGACTCTTAACATGACACATTGTAGAAAAAAGATTCATTTAACCGACTCCACTTAATGGGATGAAGGCTTGCTGTTGATGTTGATGAACTTGAGATTTTGCTTATGAAGATATCTTGATCATATTTTAACATTCTACATTTCAGATGTTTATCATAGATTTCGCTACATGTTCCTTCTTTTCTAACAGCCACACAAGATCCGAGCGACTTAAAAGAAAACATGAGAAGGATAAAACATCAAAATAGGAACATTATAGTCTGTATCAGTGTAATTAAGAATTATATGGGGCTGTCAGTATTCAGTGAAACTACAACTATAGTTGCGTGGATGATTTGATTAAGTTTGATATCTTCCTCAGTTTAATAAAATTTTGTATAATTCTACATATGCAGAAGATTTTGTATCTATGTGGATGAGCACTATCTAACCTGAATATGTATTTTCTTTGACTATGTTAAACGTGCAGCTACCTCCCAAGCCCAGATGACATTTTGGCCCTTGATATAGCATATACAATTTATATGAAGTTTGAAGATCTTGCGAGCTCTCTTCGGATCGCTCTTCTCCTGGATAACATTCAGGTTTAACATCTATGTGTCCATTCATTTGCTTTTTCATGCTCCTACCACCTATACTTATAAAGATAACGCTTGGTATCAGTCTGCTTATTCCCAACGTACTTGGTTTCTTAATGCGCAGTACGTCAAGCAAATATTTACATCTACAAATGACCCCTTATTGAAGAAGCAATTCTCTTACATTTGTGCGCATCATGTAAGTATGCACAAAATAACTATTTTATTTGTTATTAAAATAATTCATTATTGTAATATTTTACCATTGGGTGCTGTCGGTAAAATATTTAGTTAAACTGAAATGGTGAGATGCAGTCAGATGGGCTAGTTCATGCTTTGTCATTTCTATTGTGCGCATCAATATTTATTTCCTCCACTTTGATGGTTTTGTTTCATTTATTTTATGCGTGCTATCTTTTGATGGCTTCTAAACTTTTGCTTCCACGATTGTCAAATTAGGGTATTGCACTGGAGCTCGATGAAGAATGGGTTCCAGATGAAGAAGAAAGAGAGGTCT